ACACACACACACACACACACACACACACACACACACACACACACACAGTCTGTTCTGGGTCACGACGATTTCAAAGCATGCTCACTGCTGCAGTTCATGGTCAAATGAGTTTCCAGGTCACTTCGGAGGTGACCAGACCTGGCTGGGAGTCCCTGCCCAAACCTCAGCCGTGCCCATCCCTGACTGTCTGCGCAGGAGGCGCCGAGCCCAAGCTGGCCTCTGGAAGGGCCTCGCTCACGAATCAAAGCTCGTGCCAGAAACACAGTCCAGCTCCCGAGCAGAGGTAGCCTCCATCCGGGGGCCAGGGCGGCCACTGTCCTCCGGGGAAAAGGCAGGAGGAAGCCACTGATGGCCAAGAGGCAAATGGAGCCAGGCCCTGGTGGGGATCCGGGGAGAGGAACCGTGCTCCAATGCAGGTCTGTCCCTAAGCTCCAGCTGCATCCCTGCGAACCCCTCCACCGGAGAGATTCCGTAAATCGCCATGAGCTACCTGGAGTGTAGTCATTAGGGGTACAGAGAACTCGGTGTTGTGGGCTCAACTGTGTCCTGCTCAGATTCCTATGTTGGAGCCCTGACCCCCAGCACCTCAGAACCTGACCGTATCTGGAGCTGGGGCCTTTATAGAGGTGATCGAGGTGACACGGGGTCACCGGGCTGGGCCCTGATCCCATGTGACCGGAGTCCTTACCAGAAAAGGACATCAGGACACAGACCCGCACGGAGGGACGACCCCGTGAGGACCCAGGGAGAGCACGCCGTCCACACACGAGGAACGAGGCCTCAGGAGGACCCCGCCCTGCCCGCGCCTGCACCTCGGGCGTCGGCCTCTGGGACTGAGAGTTATCTGTTATTCAACAACGTCCCCTCCATCTGAGATGCTTTTTTACAGCAACCTGAGCAAATTAATATACCTGGCGACCAGCATGGGAACTCAGGCAGAAACTAGAGAAGTCAGGGCCCCCCTAGAGCACCCCCTCTGTGCCCTGGCTTCCAACCACCTGTGGGAAGTGGATAGAACAGGGTTCCAGCCGTCACCCCAGCAGCTTCCCGTAAGAGGAGGGTGGACACGGCCCCCAGATCAGGCTGGACGATCACAGCTCTGAAGGCCGGGCCAGCCAGGTCCAAAACACATGACGGACGTCCAATGCTGGTTCTTCAGACTGAATAGGGAACCACGTAAAGTCTTCCTAAAGTTTTATAACTAGAACCCCTCCCCCTGCCCAAACTTGGCTTCTTGGGTGGTCCCTTGGCCCGGGCAGCAGTCCCAGCAAGAAAGAGCCCACTGGGTTGCCTGGGTGGCTCAGTCGTTGAGCGTCTGCCTTCGGCTCAGGTCATGGTCCCAGGGTCCTGGGATGGAGCCCCGCATCGGGCTCCCTGCTCAGCGGGAAGCCTGCTTCTCCCTCTCCCTCTCCCCCTGCTTGTGTTCCCTCTCTCGCTGTGTCTCTTTCTGTCAAATAAACAAAATCTTAAAAAAAAAAAAAAAGAAAGAGCCTGCTAAGGTGGGGTGGGGACCCCTCCCCCAGCTCCCCGGGGTACCCCAGCTCCCCTGGTATCCCAGCAGGTGAGCCGGAGGAGAGGGAGAGGCACGAACAGGCAGAGCATCATTGACGTAACAGAAAGGAGGCGCCCAGCACGCCCCGGGGTTCCAGCCTCCCGACTTGCACAGGAATCTCTCCCCTTGTTTGGTTTTATTCCTTCACCAGTCAGGGTGGGTTCTGGGGCCTTGACCCGAACGGTCCTGCCCCACATGGTGCCCTGTTAGCCTAGAACAGTGACATCTGGCTGGAAAATGAGATCTACTCCCAGACACTCACCTGCTTTGTCACGTCCTGTATCATCCGGGGGAGAAAATACTCCTCTGTTTGCCTGGGGAGGGAAACACCACAGACCTGAGGACGAGCATCTTGGAAAGCAGGACAGATGGCATCCCAATGCGAGCAAATGCCAACCCGGGAGCTTCGAACCCACGAATCGGCAGAGGGCTATCAGCTGCTCACACGTGCCTCAACGATCCCTTCAGAGAAAGGGAAGCATGTAGGGTGAACACAGAAAGCTCCGGTGCACTTTCCTCGTGGACACCATGGTGCCCAGGGGGCTCCGACCGACTCGGCTTCCCCGCGCCTTGCTGTCCAGAGCTCCTGAGACACGTCACAGGTATTCTCTACAGGGTGGTCACGTTCCCCCAGGGAGAAATCCAGCTGGAATTCCTGATCAAAGTTTCTGAGTCCGAAAGATCACACTGCATTAACCCAACGCACAACTGCAAACCCATGTTATCACCGAGATGATAGTCTCCCGACGGCACAAGACGGACAGAGTCTGATACACAACTTCGGTACAAGGCCTCCCAAGGGGCTACGCGGAGAGCTAGAATGTAAGAAATACAGGGTTCACAGATCCGACCTCAAATAGGCTGTTACAAGATGCACCACTAAAACGTTTATTTACGTGTATTTCTTTTTTCTTTCTGAGAAATGCACAAGAACCTTCCAGGATGACTTTAGCAGCTTTTACTTAAATTGTAACGCTCAGAAATTGGAGGGTGCTGCCTTCTCTCCTGCGCTAAGGACAGGGACAGGGACACTCGACGCTGCTGACCTCCGAGCCGCCCTGCCATCCCACAGTGAACTCTCTATCCACCATGGGCAGCTTTGTTCTCGGCGATGTCACTATGTCAAAGTTCTCTTTAAGGGGAAGACCCCCCACCCCCCGCCAAGGTTTCCCCTTTCCTCTCCTTCCCCTCCACCCCCACCAAGACCCACTGAGTACCAGACGAAAGCAACACCACCAGGAGATGGTATGGGTTCACCTCCATGACCACTCTCTGTTCCAAAGCCAGTGAGCACCTCGTACGTGGCCGGTGAGCTGCTCCAGGGTTCATCAAGAGCCAAAATATCATGAGTAAAAGTCCCGCACTGTAGCCTGTCACCCAGAGCCTAGCTCAGGCTGGTCCGACTTCCTCCCACGGTCCCCACACCTGATTCCTCTGCATGGCCTAAGCCTTTCTCTAGCTGGATGCCCTTTCTTCCCAGCCAACATCCTATGGAAAAAACCTCGCTGCGGACTCCTGCCAAGAAACCAGTTTTGGCCATGCTGATTGCAAGCCTTCTCCACCCCCAAGGAGCTACAAGAGCCCCTGTGATCTCTGTCTCACTGTGCTTAAATTTGGGGGTACATCTAAAAACATAAGGGAAATGAGCAGATTCTTAAATTTCCTGCAGTCAAGACCCAGGTTATTTTTTCTGTTGTCTTAGGAGACCTGAACTGTCATGTGGTCATTACCGAGGTGGGGACAAAGTAACATGCCCAGTCATGGAAACCACACTGGCACAGCGCCCAGAGGGTAAAAATCTCTCGTTTCCACGGTGCCTAAGTGTGAGCCGGCTGCTCCAGCTCGGTGCCCGCCACCACCGCTTCCAGGGGCACAATCATGAGCGCGACCGTCTGAGGGAGCCACCATGAGGCCCACACACCACACGACAGAGACGGGCGATCCCAGACTCCCAGGAAATTCAGAGACAACATGCCCCAATAAAAGATCTCAAAGAAGAGACGATCAGACAGTGGAAAAAGAAAAAGCGAGCCTGCAAACGGTGAAAAGGATCTGAAAAACTGCAAACGTGCACAGATCTGAAGAACGGAGCCTCCCGCGAGCACGGCACAGAGGACAGATTTAGGGGAATGAACCCCAAGGGAAAATGCAGGTACGTGGGCAGAGAGCAGACGAAAGACTGAGGCCTGTGGTGGCCGACATCGAAGGCTCCTGGACAAGAAGAGCAAAGAACAAAGGCCTCTGAAAATGGGAAATAAGAAAATGTGCCCAAAATTAAAGTCCCGACAGTAGGAGCACCTGGGTGGCTCAGATGGTTAAGCGTCTGCCTTCGGCTCAGGTCATGACCCCAGGGTCCTGGGATGGAGCCCTGCATCAGCTCCCTGCTCAGCAGAGAGTCTGCTTCTCCCCCTGCCCCTCCCCCTGCTCGTACAATCTTGCTTTCTCTCGAATAAATCAATCAATCTTTAAAAAAATTAAAGTCCTGATGGTCAGGTCAAAACCACTGGGCACACATGGTTAGGACAGCAGAGGCCCAGCACGGACGAAGCTCTGCCCGCGGAGGAATGGCCCCGCCGGCAGCTTCGCACCCTTATGGCCGGCGGTCGGTGCACCTGCTCTCGGCCTCGACGTGACTCACACTGTCCCCACTCTGTCCACACCCTGCTGCTTGCTGGGGATGTCCCGCCTCCCCCCTGCCCCCTCCCTGGGGGGGGCCCCCGGGCCCAAGGCACCGGGGGGGGGGGGGGGGGGGGGGGCGCTGCCCTCTACAAGACCCCTTAAAGCGGCGCCCTCACCAGGACCTGGCACTCTCCAACCTTTTAATTTTACCGCTTGGGGGGCACAGGAAGAAATCTCACCACGGTGCCTGTTGATATCGGCCTGATTTCTAGCAATATCCAACATCGATTCACACGTTTGTTTTTTGCTTCTATCAAATTTCTCCTTTGCTCTTTGTACCTTTATTTTTCTGTTTGAGTTTCTCTGAATATTTTTTCTGTTTTTATTGATTCAGGAGTCATTTAAATCCCTGAGCAATAACCTTTGGGCATTCGGCAAATATTTGCTGGGTCCCCACCACCTGCCAGCACCCTTCTCAGAACCAAGGAAACCACAAGGACACGGATGCCACGTCAACACCTGCCACGCACCACGCTCAGCGCTTTACACACAGACTCTGTCATCCCCACAACCACAGCCCTACGGGATCACCGCCGTGACTGTCCCCAAGGCGCAGAGAGATCGGGTCGCTCTGCTGGCCCGAAGTGGCCCAGCTGAGTGGCAGAGGCAGGTCTGACCTCCCAACTCCAGAGACACCTGCTCTGTAAGGGCTGCAAACTAGCCCCTGTGCGGGTCAGTCAAGGAGGGTGCTCAGAAAAGGTGCTTTACATACGAAGCATGAGAAAATGAGAAACAGCTCTCAAAATGAAAAATAAGATAGCTAAATTTAAATTTCAGTAGAGACAGAGAGTAAGATGATGGAATCTTCTAGAATGTGGGAAAGAAAAGCTAAGACGACTAGAGGAAATGGTCCAGGAAATCGAATCCCCGGTCAAGAGGCGTTCCAGAAACAGAAAATAGGACAGAAACTCGCCCAGAAAGGATAGGACAGCCTTTCCCAAAACTAAGGGACCAGGGTCTCTGCGTCAGAGGGCCACAGAGGGCCTCACACGAGGGCCCAAAGACCCACACCAAGGCCCATCTAACAAAATTTTAAAAGACCAAAGATGAAGAGAAGCTTCTCCACGTGCCCAGGAGAAAAGAAAATCATCACATGAGAGTGAAGACTCCGAGTAGCGCCAGGCTTCTCCCCAGCAAGAGCACAAGCCAAAGGCAATCCTATACACGATACGTTTAAAACCATGCAGAAAAGTTATTTTTAACCTAGGATTTTTTTTTTTTAATTCTGCAAAACTATTCATCACGTGTACGAGTCCAACAAAGACGTCTGCAAGCAGGCAAGATGTTAAAAAGTTCACCTTTGGTGGATCGTTGCTTAGAAAGTAGGACGTTATGATTTATCATAAGAAATATATTTGGTCTTCCTGGCACTGAGCTCCTAAAGCCCTTGGATTTTCCGGAGATAAGCCGTAAAGGTGTTTTTACGTTAATGGTGCCAGTGGGAAAGGCCCTCTGGTTGCCAGGGGAGCCAAGCCAGGGATCAGGAAGTTAGAGCTTTTGGACCCACCTCCAGACCTGGGGAGGGAGCCAGACTGGGGGTTGAGTTCAGTGGCCAAAGGCCAATGATTTCATGAATCATGCCTTGTAACGAAGCCTCCAGAAAACTGCAAAGAATGAGGTTTGGGGAGTTCTTGGGTTGGCGACCATGTGGAGATCCGGGGAGAGCAGTGCACCTCCAGAGCCCGCCCCGTGCATCTCTCCCACTTGGCTGTCCTGATTATATCCTCTTAGAGTAAACTGTGATCTGGAAGTCAACCTCAGAAGGGGGTGGTGGGAACCTCTGGACTATACTAGAAGCCACATGCCAGCAAATGAGCAACTCGTCAAAGACAGTGATGCAGGGGGCTGGTCAGCCCAGGACAGCGAGACGTCCCACAGAACTGTGCAGGAAGAGGGTGGCGAAAGTACAGAAAACCCCGAAGTTGTCCTACACACAGCTATGCAGCATTTGAGGATACAACATTGAAAGCTGAACCTGCAGCAGCAGCAGTACCACATAAACACCAGGAATCCCAGCGAGAACAGCGGACAGGTTTCGCACCCAGGGGTGACCATGCCCCCAGGGGACATTTGCCAAAGTCAGGAGACATCCAAGGCCGTCACAGACTACCTACAGGGGAGGTCAGGGAGGCTGCCGCACCACTTGCCATGCAAAGGACAGCCCGAGGCCGCGGTGGACACCCTGGAGTACAGGATGACTCCGGACATGAGATGCCCGATGGGCCACGGTGGATGAGCTTTCTGTAATCAATCGGCCGTACTGTAACCATCAGCCTCAAGACAGCTGTACCTAAAATGTCAGGAACTTGCCCCAGATTCTCATGTAACTCTCCCGGGATGCGGACCACGACTCTGCCCAGGGAAGACATGAAACAAGCATCCACAGAGAGGCCACAACCCGTGCTTCCCTGCTCGGGGCACTGGGGACTCACCGGTTCCGTGACCATGGGGTGAACCAGCGCAGTTCCCGATAGTTGCCTTCGTTGGCCAAGGCCATTTTGGGTCTGATGAGCAGGATCTTCCTACAGGGAGGAAAACAGAATGGCTCCTGAGATGAACACCCAGTCACAAGGGGCAGCCCACAGGTCCACCCTCCCCTGACGGTGGATGATGACTGAACCGCCAAGACCCAGCAGGTGTGCTGAGCTGTGCGGGCAGCTGACATCTGGGATCCACCAGGAGAGCAGGACACACCACCCTCCCTTGAACGGCAGCAGCCGTACCCTGGGGTCTCTCTCCTTATAATACCCGAAGGTGACCGTGGTGGGCAGAGGCCAGGAGAAGCAGTGACACTTGGGTCACCTGCCTGTATGTCGGCCCTCACTAAGGACCAGACATTGCCGGAAGCTGCCTCCCAGCACACGGCTCCCAGGGAGCATGGGTTTCAGCGACCATGTGGTTCCCAGGGAGCATGCAGTTCCAGCGACCATGCGGTTCCCATGGACCACGCCGCAGAGCAGCAGAGCCTGGGGTAGGTGGTGCGCCGGGCACTCTCTCCCGACCGCCACCTACCTGTTGAGAAATATCACCCTGCAGTTGTAGCGGACATTCCGGTGCATGACAGGCCTGTGGAGAGAGGGGGCACACACGTGTCTGTGAACAGCAAAATCCTATGTCTGTCTTAGTACGAAGCCTCCTCGAGCCCTGGAGGAGAAGCAGAAGTCTCCCCTCTAGTTTTCTCAGAGGGTTTCTGCCCTGGAATAGGCTCTAAAGCAGGAGAGACTCTTCCAGTGGAGCGCAATCATTCCCTCAGGGCTCTTCCTCTCTCCTGGAACGTTCTCAGACCTTCCAGTGGCTGCCGCCCCATCTGCACGCAGCCCTGTCACCGTGTCACTTCTCCGTCCCCTACTGGCCTTAGGCACCGGCCCCAGCGCCTTCCTGGTTCTCCTTCAGAGCACCTCCTGACCTGTGGCCTGCACCCCTTCCATTTGCCCACCACTCTGTCTGGACCCCTCCCACAGACATCGCGCTTCACATCTCCCCCCTTGTGTCTTCTGCAGGAAGCGGGGCGCCCCGCTATGGGGAAGCTGGCCAGGTATCAAGGACGTCACGATAAAATTACTGTTTTGTTTAGAATCTTATTATGTGTCCAAATAAATATTAGATGTGAAAATAAAATATCTTTATAAGTATGACTTGATGTTTTAAGAATAAAAACTAGAAAAATAAAAATAGGATTATAGGGCGCCTGGGTGGCTGAGTCGGTTGAGCGTCTGATGCTTGATTTCGGCCTGGGTCATGATCTCGGGGTTGTGAGATCGGGCCCCGCACCCGACTCCCAGCTCAGCGAGGTGTCTGCTTCTCTCCCTGTCCCTCTGCCCCACCTCCTTCTCCCTCTCTCAAATAAACAAATAAATCTTTTTAAAAAGTAGGATTATAAACTCCAAGCCAACAGAAGAGAGCGGAGCACAGAAGAGCAACCAAATACAAGGGAAACCCAGAGGGAGACAAGAGGACCCGGGCAGGACTACGCCCCTGCGGCGGCTGAATCAGGAGGCGCAGGCACGTCCACGTCCTAATTCCTGGAGCCAGGAATTGTAGTGTAAGCCCCTCACATGGCGACAGGGGCTTTGCACACCCTGAGATGGGGAGATTATTCTGGACTACCTGGGTCGCTCAACGTAGTCACCAGGTCCTTGCACGGGGAGGTGGGGGTCAGAGGGGGAGCAGAGGTGTGGGGGACCACTGCCGGCTCTGAAGGTGGACCAGGGGTCCCAAGGGACGCAGGGGCCTCGCCAAGCAGGACTGCCCCCCAAGAGCCTCCAGGACCCAGCCTGGCTGAACCATTTTTCAGACTTCTGATGTCCACAAACATTAAGACAAAAAACTTGTGTTGCTTTTGTGTCTTACGTTTGTAGTCATTTGTCACAGCAGCGATAGGAAACATCCAAAATCATGATAAACATGAATAAACTGGGTTAAAAATCCCATCTGTGACCTGTATCTCTGAACCAAATAATACGTATGTTAAAAAAGAAAAGAAAAGAAAATAGCAGGAGGGGAAGAATGAAGGGGGGAAATCGGAGGGGGAGACAAACCATGAGAGACTATGGACTCTGAGAAACAAACTGAGGGTTCTAGGGGGGAGCGGGTGGGGGGATGGGTTAGCCCGGTGATGGGTATTAAGGAGGGCACGTTCTGCGTGGAGCACCGGGTGTTACGCACAATGAATCATGGAACACTACATCAAGAACTAATGATGTAATGTATGGTGGTTAACAGAACATAATCAAATTAAAAAAAGAAGAAGAAAAAATCCTGTCTGTGAGCTGCTGGAATGAGGCCCCAATAAACACGTGTCACAGCGACGTGGAAGGACGTGGTGGGCACACGCAAGGCTGCACTAAGAGGAAAGCAAACATGGCTCTACTTCCGTCACAGGCAGAACCGGACCTGAAGATATAAACAGGAACGACACACAAACCCACTGAGGGGCTCTGGCTTTGCAAGGATGGCCCACACACAGGACAGTAGCGGAATCCCACCCGTATGAGCTGCGCCTGGGGACCTGCGCGCTACCCGCCTGCTACGTGCCCACGTGTACACTCCTGCCCATGGGGACCCGCCTGCTACGTACCCACGCCGTACACTCCTGCCTGTGGGCACCTGCCCGCTACGTACCCACGCCGTACACACCTGCGCCTGGGGACCCTGCCCCTATACCCATGCCCTACACCCATGTGCCTATCGGCCCTGCCCCCTACACCCACTCCATATACACCTACACCTGCGGACCCCACCCCCTACGCTCACGCCTACCTGCACCTGTGGAACCCACCCCTACGCACCTGTGCCCTGGACCCCACCCCCTAAGTGCCCGCGCCATATGGAACCTGCCCCCTACATACCTGCACCGTATACACCTGCTCCTCTGGACCCCGACCCCTACGTACCCGCCCGGTACACACCTGTGCCTGTGGACCCCACCCCTACGTACCTACGCCATGTACAACTGCACCTACGGAAACTGCACCATCCGGAACCATATGGTCTGCGTGTTGATGTGGAGTGATGTGGTGTCATCCCAAGAATTACCATTAAGTGAAGAAAGTTCCATATGTGTGACGGGGTAAACACTATGCTCCCACTATGCACAGTGTGCTCCCACACAGGCAGGAGCTTCTCAGGGAACCTGTAAAAGCTGCTTCCTAGAGCTGCCTCCGTTGGGGGACTTAGGGGTCTACAGGCTGGGGGGCGTACAAAACCCACTTTTCAACATAAGACCTTTTGTATCTTTGAACCGTGCAGATCCCGCATCCCTGAAGGTAGGATAGCTCGCACCCTGAACCTTCCTTGTTTTCTGAGCTTGCCTTCCCGGATGTGCGCGTTGGCACTTACAGTCCCACGTCACAGATGATATCCTGAGTGACCGGAGATTCCAGAAGGGCAGCCAGGACTTGGAGTGAATGCAAGAGGGTGTCCGACTCGTAGTAATGATCCCAACACCCGTAGCCACTGCAGAGGAAGGGAGCAGGCGGATGAGCCCCAGAGACACACTGGGGGAGTGGGGAGGGGCGGCAGGGGCCCACGGGCCACTGGGGTCAGAACGTGCAGGGGTGCAACCAGCGATTCCACTGTGCAGCCAGAGTTAGGATCACAGCTACAAAAGAGGATGCATTTCCCCCAGAAACGAAGAAACCTCTGTCCCTAGGCTCTTTTTTCCTAGCGTTAAGTTACAACAAGAGATTATCTCTTGTGTCAACGTGTCTGCCTGTGGACGTTTTTTTAACTTTTAATGTAGCCAAAATCACATTGATCTACAAAGCTGAACCTACAGAAACACGTTCCTCAGACACGGAAGATCATTAATATCATTCCATTATCACTCACAGAGCGACTCCTAGTTTTTGCTGTGGTTTTTGCTGGTAGCAGACTGGATGGTGTCCCCCAAAAAGCTGTGTCCACCTCCTAACCGCCGGAGCCCGTGAATGTGACCGTACTGGGGAAAGGGTCTTCACAGAGGTTATTAAGGATCTAAAGATGAGATGAGCCTGAATGACCTAGGCAGGTGCTGAATCCAACAGGAGGAGGAGAAGACACGGAGGGGGCCGTGTGAGGACGGAGCTAGGCGGGACGCAGCCACAGGACAAGGGGTGGGAACGGAAGCCAGAGGAGGCAGGACGGATCCTCCCCTGGAGCTTCTGGAGGAAGCCTCTGGCCTCCGGAACTGTGAGAGAGTCAGTTCCAGCTGTTTGAGGCCACCCAGCTTGTCGACCCTGTAACTAACATCCTCCGCCTCATAAAATGACAGGTCCAGATTTGGGGGCCAGGTGTGGGGAGAGCACGGCACAAAGAAAGGGGTAAGGACCTAACCTGGAGGCGTCTGGACAGCGATTATGCCAGGGGGACTGGGCTGCTGAGGGCAACCCTGCAGTGGGAAGAACAGACAAAATACAAACACCAAGCCAGGAGCTCAGGGGTAGAGCTCATTTACACACCCCAGGACCCCAGGGGCAGAGGAGTGTCTTGAAGAGCAGGTTAAGTGAGGGTGCAAATGCTCTTGGCTACCACGGAAGACACAGCCCGAGCTGAAGTCGGGATCCCAAAGACAGAAGTCCGGCTCCCGAGGAAAAGGACGGGAGTGGCCTCAAGGGCGAGCACAAAGACACCTGGGACGTGAGACTTTCTGTTTACACGAAGCCCAGAATCCAAAGCAGGGACGTGGCCTGAGGAGGAACTTCTGATCCCACAAATGGCCAGGACCTGTACACACGTGGGAACCCAGAGGGCAGCTGACATCTGTCACAAAAGAACCGTAGCTCCTAAGACACTTGCTTATTTCTGAATACGGGACAAGGAGGAACTGGCTTCCCGATCACCTCGAACGGGCAGAGCGGAAGTGATCACTCACACCCACTTGTGGAGAGATGCCGAGACCAGTAAGTGAAACGTGCTTGTGACCAAACATGAGAGGGAGGGCCTGGGGAGGGTGGTGGCCAGCAGAAGCGGCTTGGGTATCAGTCCAGCTGCCGAGTCCCTGCTCCTCTAGTGACCCGACACCGGACTCCAGGCCGGCCCAGCCTGGCCGGGCACTCTGGCTCAGAGGCATCAAGCGGGCCCACTCGCGGGCTTCCGATGCCCCTCAACAGGCCCACACATCTGCACCTCTCCATACCCACCCCCCTTCCCTGTGTTTCCGCTGTGGGGAGCTGATGCGGATACCTCCACCTGCCCGCCCTGCGGGGTCTGTGTGTTCTGCTCTCACCATATTTCCAGTTCTGGTCCCAGCCTGTATCTTGCTCCTTTGCGTTTGGCAATTTCAATACCTGAGAGAGAGAGAGAGAGAGAGAGAGGAGCAATTTCAGCACCTACACCGTGGTCAGAGGCAGACAAAACACTGCTGTAATAGGTGTGATAAAAAGCCAAACCACAAACAAAAGCACTCAGTGATCTCCCTGACCCCATGCAGCCAAGGACGGGCTCTCCCAGAGACCCTGCTTACACAGGCAGGAAATAAGACACAGGGCCTGCAGGGCTGACCTTAGCACTTGGGAGGAAGCATCCACACCCTGGTAGTTCATTAACGGGCAGATGTGGAAGACCGTGTGCAGGGAGAGGGCAGGACTTGAAGGACCACAGCCTACAGCGGCACTGGCAACCTCTGGTTTGGGGCAGCAGGGCCCAACGTGCACCTGTGGAGGAGAGGCCACCTGAACAGAGACAGCTCTGGCCACCGACTGCCTCGCTCTAATTAGATATGCTCTGTGCTCTGATAAGATGTAAGCAGATTGAGATTGAAAAAAAGAGGTTGAAGGTCTGGGGTACATGGCTAAAAAGATGCCCTCTCTTGCATCCTCCTGTTCTTACTGCAAACTCTTGCAGGGAGCAGCTCAGAACAAGACGGCCTGGGGTGAGCACACCTGCAGGGCGGCCCAGGACAGCCCCACTCTAGCTGTAGGTCTGAGTAGTTGGACCTTTCATGCTCACAGATGGGCTGGTGCCAAGGCTCACTATATGGCACCCCCCCCCCACAACAACCACACCCTAGTCTCTAAGATTGCAGGCTCACCCCTTACTCTGCTTCCCTCTAGGGGCTGGCTTCTCCCAAAGTCTACCCATCAGGACAGTCTCTAGGCACCAGACACAGTAACAGCACTCCCGTCTGTCTTAAAGTCTGACTTGCTTCAAGCTCACATGCTCCTTGCTTGCTGACCTAAGTCCCTGGATCTGTAGCAGAACTAACCTACTCTCCTTGAGATTTGCAGACCACTGGCCTCACGGAGTGAAGGACCTGACTCTCCCAGATGATGAGCTCTGACAGCATGCGAGAACAGCTGGGGGGGTGTGGGGGGGAATGCCAGTGAGTCCGTTCAGGGTCATGTCCACATCTGACTGCCATCTGGGCACCTGCTTCTCCTGCATGCAGCCCCCCTCCCTCTTCCTGCACCGTCCCCTTTGAAACCCTCGGGCTCCCTCTGGATGGGAAAGATGGACTTTGACACTTTAGTTCACCATCTTCCCAGGTTGCCTGGTTCCTGAATAAAGCAACTTTTTCTTTACTCCCCATCACTTGTGTTGATGGCAAGCTGCGGAAACTGAGTTAGGAACCAGTTCTCTGGTAACAAGACCACCTTCCGTGGGACACTTCTTCACGACATCCTCGCTGGTGGCTGACCACCCTCTTCCCTTAAATGCCTCTAAACATGGACAACTCAGCACCTCTCAGGCACCTCAGCCCTAGCTAAGCCACACTGGACCCCAGAGGTATCTGAGGACAGATAAGCCTCAGCCTCTCGTCTCCATCTCTGCCTCTGCAGCCACGCTTTTCCTACCACGAGCGTATACCATGGGTCCCACCAGGAACAGTAAACCACCCCCAATTCGGGGGGGGGCCTGGGCACTTACGGGGGGGTTGTCATTACGCATCATCTTATCTGTCCCCAAGCCCAGGGCTGCGACTTTCCACAGAGCAAGGATGTGTGTGCATCACAAGCAAGCAGGGGCCGGCCGGCCTGGACCTTCGCCCCCCCCCCCCCCTGACCCCCCCCCCCCCCCCCCCCCTGCCCCGCCCCCTTCCCCCCCCCCCCCCACCCCGCCGCCCCGAGACTCACTCTTTAAAATCCTCTGCAAATTGCCCTCGAAGTCCAGGGCCCATTGGTTGAGCGCGCAGACGGCCACGGTCACCTTCCGGCCCATCCTGGCCGCGGTGGCCTGGGCTCTTCCGGGTCCTCCCGCGGGGTCCGGCCGCCCTTGGGCCGCAGAGCCCGCGGAGTCGCGGCCGCGCCTGCGCAGGAAGGAGGCCCGTCCCCTCCGCCCCGCCGCGAAGCCGGGAGGGGTTCCTGCAGCCCCGCCACCGACCACGGGGGACGGCGGCCAGCCCCGCGGCGCGCGCAACTCCACTCTTTTATTGCACACTTCCCCACAAACTGCACCCAACCTGCTCCTTCAACTTGGCTGTTTGCCCTCGTAATGTTAGATACGTCCTTTTCATTCCCTTTCTGCACTTGGGTGCTGCATTGTGGGAGTAGAGCGCGAGCTCTCGGTTCAGTGCCGGAGCGCGTCCTCGGCCCCGCGCCCGCGCGCGCGCCCGCGCTGGCTCCGGTTCCTTTCCGAGAGCCGGCCCCTGTGCGGCCGCGCCTCGTTTCCCCAGGCCTGCGAGTCCCGCCGCCGGGCGCAGTGCCGCTGTGCTCTTGCCACGTTTCTCACCCGGAGCGCTCGTTCGATCTACTGCGGCAGGCTTTCGCTTTTTCTTAAAGCTCATTCTTTCGTCCATTTAGGGTAGGAATCCATTTTTTTTCCCGTATGAATAAGTAACTCTGTCACTGAACAGTCCGTCTTCTCCCGACTTGCGATGCTGCTTTTGTCATAAACATTTTCACGTTTAAAATACTTTTTCCCCGTCTCTAAAGTAATGCTTGTTCTTGATGGACAATTGGAAGAAGGAAAGGGAGGGGAGGGGAGGGGAGGGGAGGAAGGCGGGGGCAGTGCTCCAGATTAAGGCTAAGGAGCCCTGACACCTGACGCACAGAGTGGTTTCCCGATTGGATCCTGACTTTTAATAAACAGCTATAAAGGACATGAATGGGACGATGGGGGAAAACTGAATATGAACAATATATTAGGTAATAGCATTGGGTTGATACAAAATTTCCAAAGTGTAATGTATTTTATTTTGGTAACGCAAGAGGTGGTTGCTTAAGTAGCTAGGAAGAAGACATCACCTGCGGCTAATTAATGGTTCAGGGAAAAAAGTGGGGGGTGGATACAGAGAGAGAGGGAGGTAAAGAAATTAAACGTGGGGAACTGTTAGCAGCTGCTGAATCTAGGTATATGGGTGCTCACTTTAGTATATATTCAACTGGTTTGTGTGTTTGACATTTTTCAAAATAAAAAACTGCAGAAAAAATGTTTCTCTGTGAGGGACACAGAGCTGTGCCAATCAGATCCCTATGCAAACAAGACCTTTGTCCCAAATGCTGGGAGTGGGGCCAGCAGACACCTTCAATTGCCCACCCCTCCAGGGGCTGCTTGGGTTGTACAGCTGCCCTGACCAATGTCATGTCCTTGCAAGGGTGGCCCTGTCCAGTAGCTGGTCTCCGGAGGCAGGAGTATGTATGTGGCTTGGGCATTCCTGCCAAGCGGGACAACTGTCGTGGGTTCCTATCTGCCCCATTGTGTTGGCCCCAGTTGGGCTTGCATGGCAGTTCAACTTCTCCCTCTTTCCAGCGCTGCTGCTCCTTCCCCCCCCTCATCTCTGCACAGGTGTGATCCTGACCCGAAACTCCATCTCCCTCACTTCTGGGGGAACCAGACCTGCCAGGCCTCCTAGCAGAGCCCTCCCTGACACCCCCAAATCAAACTGCTCTAATCCTCTGCACAGCACCTTCACCATCTGACACTCTACCTATTTGATTGTTGTTTATTGATTATTGCTCTCGCCCCGCCCCTAGTAGACGTGACCCCTAGGAGCAGGGATGTTGTCCGTTTGTGGGTTGCTGTGGACCCAGGGCCTGACACATCAGATGCTCAGCAAGTGTTTGCTGCGCTCCTTGGAAGCCCCATTTGCAGAAAGAGGAAACTGGGGCGCAGGGGAAGCAACTTGCCCGCGGCCATTGGGTGGATGGAGCGCCGGCCCTCGCGCGTGCTCCGCGGGGCTTAGCGTGGGTGCGGGGTGCCGCTCCGGCAGCCAGCGGTCCGCGGGGCGGGCCCTCGGCCGTCAATCCCGCGCCCCAGCGCCAACGAGTGGTGCGTTTGGTGGTCCGGAGTCAGCTCAGGGGGTGGGGCGAGGCGTGCGAGCAATCGCCGGGCGCAGGGACGCCGGCCTATCAGGACCCGCCTCCAATTGGTCGTCTATCGCATCATGTCATGCTGGGGGCGGAGCTTCGGGGCGGCCCCTCTAGGCCACCGGCGCGGGGGTGGGGGGCGGCAGCAGGCCAGGAGTTGGGGACGCAGGTGGGTGCGGAGCCAGACGCTCAGGTGAGCCGGCGCGGTGCGCGCAGGTTAGGGGCGCCCAGGTGAGCCAGCGCGGTGCGTGCAGGTGGGGGGCGCCCAGGTGAGCGGCCGGCGGTGGTCTATTCTCAGAAGCGCCCCGGTCTGAGGACCGGTGCCCTCTTTGGCCCACCTGAGCCCTTCCTGCAGCTCCTTAGGTAAAGAGAAAGGAACCGGGCCCCACCGGGCGCCACTTTGGGTGCCCAGATTTGAGACACGGGCAGCGAGGGAGTGGGCTGCTCAGTGAAGCGTAAAAGACCTTTTGTGTACTCTTGGTGGGAGCAGAAAATGACGCGCTCTTTCTGAGCGCAATTTGGCGAATTCCTTTTTAATAAAATGTTGTGTATTCTCTCAAAAAATATATATGGGTGGTTGGGGGAGGGGGGGCTGGAAACGTGGGGCATGGAGAGGCCTGGTAGTGAAATTCAGATAACTATGATGATAACAGGTAATTTTTCTGAGGGCTGTGCCAGGTACTATTCGAATACGGAAACATTTCTTGGAACCTTATCTGAACAGCGGGGGGGGGGGGTCTGGTTTGGGAATTTGTGAATCCAAGAGTAGTAGGGACTGAAGAATACAGACCTGCCAAAGTCAACCTGAGATGAAAAAGAATGATAAACATCAGAATCCGTGAGGGGGTGGGCAGCTGCTTTCCTGGCTGTGAAGACAGTTCTAGAGGCCAGGTAAACCTACCTGTCCACCCAACATCTACCTTTAGGAGTTTATCCCTGGGCATATTCAGACAGCTGTGTAAACATGCAGATGCAAGAACTCCCATTATGACTTGCTGTATATACATGCAAAAACCAGAAACACCTAATGACTATCAGTAAGAGGATTGGATAAGTCATGATGCACTAATACGGTGGGATACGTGGCAACTGTTAAAACGAATGGACTCAACATGGAAACAAGTCCCCTGGCATGCCACAGCCAAAGGGGCAGGAGGGAGATAAGGCTGTCATTAAAAAGACTACTTGAAAAGCTACACACCCAAACCTTAAACAGGGATGGGGATACAGCTGTTCTTTTCCTATTTTCCGGAAAACAGACTTATGTAATAAAATAATTTAGCAATAACGAAAAGAGTTTTTAAACAGCTCCTGGAGTCCTAAGACCCACAATTCTGGGAACATTTGTGGCTGAATGGGGGTCGGGAGGTCACCTATGCATCCCCCCCACCATTCCCAAAGCATGATGGGACTGATCTTTGGGGGTGATTCTTGGTTTACCTGCAGCTTCTCTACAACCCAGCCCCCCCCCAGCCCCGCCCCCTGACCCTGGGCCTTCTGCAGTTGTCGCTCCCTCAACTCACAGGTACAGTTCACAAGCCTCACTTCCAAATGTAGGGGCTGCTTTGGAGATGTGTGGCTCCCGCAAGCTCTTGGCGCCAGGAGGCTCTGGCCTGGCTTACCTCGAGAGGACTGAGGGCCCAACAGGGACCCAGCAGAGCCACTCCTGGGGCGCTTTCCGAGGCCTTCAGAAGTGGGCATGTGCCCTAGGTGGAAAGAAATGCCCAGAGACACTGAGCCCTGATTCTAAAGGGTAAGCTGCAGCTTTGACCGTGGCTCCAGGGTTCTGCGCTCCCAAAGCTGCAAATATATGCTCACTGTAACGCAAGTTTAGAATTCGAATGTAGAGGTCCTTGCCTTTCTTCTTTCTCCAGTCCACCCCCAGAAGTCATTAACCTCCATCCCCAGGGGCCCGAGTGAGCAGAGAACGCACTCCACCTCGCTCACGTCAACCTCCTCATCTGTAAAAGGGACGTCGTAATGCTTACTCTCCGGTGTCTGTGCAAGAACTCAGTAAGATATTGGGCACTTGGAACTCCGCAGATGCTCAGTAAACAGCCTCTGTCTGTAAAGGTTGAGTCATCGAGGGATGGCCCCAACAGTATCTTGTGTTCTAATATCTTGCAATCCCCACATCAAGGCGTGGAGCCCGATTCCCTTCCCCTTGAAAGGAGGTGGACTTGGGACTCCCAGTAGCCGATAGAATGTGCTGGAAGTGCTGTCACTTGTCTCCTCAGGCCCTCAGAAGGGGCGGTACAACTCCGTGGGGTCTGCTGGAACCCTTGCTGGTTCCCTGAACCTCTCTCCATGGCGCTGAGCCACCAGGCTGTGAGGACGCCCTAGCTGGCCCACAAGGAGAGACCGCATGAAGACAGCCGCTCTGGCACACCCCAACCTGTAACGGCCTGGCCAGTCTCCCCAGACTCCTAACCACAGAAGCAATGAGAAAGGATGAAAAGACTGTTGTTTTAAGCCACCAGGTAGCAGCATGGTTAGGTGCAGGGGGTAACCAGAACTCTCTGGGGCTGGCTTTGGGGTTGCATGGCCCTTAGACCTCTGCTAGTCTGAACCTCACCCTGACGCCCTGCATGAGCCCAGCTAAGCCTTTCTGAGGCCCGAGGGTGCTGAGGATCCTTTTGGCGATAACTGGCTCTCTTTTAGGTGAACTCCGATGGGGTCAGGGAGGGCTCTGAGCACTTGGTGCCATGACCTCATTTCCTTGAGTAAGCAGGTGACAGCTGCTTGTGGATGAGGAAACTGGCCTAGCAGGTGGTCCCACAACTTGGATTCCAAGTGGGCAGCAGGAATCTGTGCTGCTGAGAACTCAGAGCCTTGGTGGTGACCTTGGGGCCTCCAGGACATGCCCTGTGCCAGTCCCCAGATGCCTCTGCCATGCTCCTGGGTGTCTAGAGCATCCCCAAACTTCTAAAATTTCAATGTGCCAAAAAGCTGCTAAGGGGTGTAAGTCATCTGTTGTGTGGGTCTCCGCCTGTAGATAGTGATACTGTGGTCTGGGAATGCCTGAAGCACCCTCCTGGGCTTGTATTACTGGGGCAGCCGCCTCCCTCCCAGGGCCATCATGGCTAGCCCAGCCCTAGTGGTCCTTATGATTGCAGGGTGCACCTCAGCAACAACCATTGGGGAGCTCTGACGAGCAAGGTTTATTACTCACAGGTCCTGGAGGCCACACAGAATGCTCAGAGCCACAGTGAGGTCATGGGGAGAGAGGGTGTATGTGGGCCTGGGGCTCTGCCTTCATGGG